CGGGCCGCGGAAGGCGCTTTTCTACCGGCGAGGAGAAACGGCGTCGGCAGCAGGAGGCTTCGCGCGTTGCCCTGTGCGGCCCGGCTGCTCCGGGCCTGGCCCAACGCCCCGCCTGGGCCCGGATAGCCCGTCCTCGCCCGGAGCTAACGCCTGTGGCCGGCGGAGCTCGAACATCAGCGCGAAAGAGAGACGTCCGACAAGATGAGGCCGAGCCCGGCCCTTCCCCTCTGACCCGGGCGGAGCAGCTCGCAGGGCACAGCGCGGTGGGACCCCAGAGCAGGTATTTCCCCCAGCGCTAGTATCATACTGAGCACTAAAATAGCGTGGTGGCAATATCCTGGTTTCCCCCCAGAACACACCATAAACCTGGAAAACTGTTCCTGCTGTACACCACGGTAACACAGTTCTGCTGGAGAACCTAAACCACAAATGCTGGGGCAAACTGATCGCTAAAATAAGTTCATGACCTTTTAAGTTATCACTATTGCCTGCAACTTGTCACACATTTATTTTACAGAATTCCTAAATTTTACAACATAATTTGGAGAAAAGTTGCTTTAAATTCAAAGCAATCTTTTGGTACTTACACGGATATTCAACTAATAACTAAATAGCTTACTGTCTTAGCAGAAACAAATTGGAGAAAAAAAAAATAAAAATCACAGCACAGCACAAAATTTAACACTTGAGAGGTTCTGAGGAAAAAAAAAAAAAGGTACAGGCACCCAGGTGACTTCAGAAGTCCTGAAAACTATTTACTGTGTGATTGCAGGAAGACGATACCAAACAGGGCCACTTTGCATGCTACTACAGGCATTTTTAATTGCCCCATGAGAAGAGGAGGCAAAGAAGCAGGGAGATTTGGAGAAAAGACTGCAAGCACACAGCTAAGCCAACAGTTTATGGCAGAACTTAAAACTGGGAACAAGGGTTGAAAGGAGAATGGCTTAGCGACAGGAGTATCAGTCTTGACATCCCTGACCTGCATTCAAGTTTCCCCACAACCCATCCCACCCTTCAGCCTTTCACAGAAAACAAGCAGAGCTCTGTGTGCAAGACTGTGTGCAGGTGAACACCCAGGAATTCATCCTTAAGAAGCAAGCTACTGCCTGTTATGAATAAACAACAGCAACCAGAAAAAGGCCTTCACCTCCCTGGAATCTTGTGTAGCGTTGCTGTGCTGTCTGCCATTCTCCACTTTAGCAGTTACCAAAATGCAGCCATCTCTATCTTGATCCCTGTGAGTTTATGCACTATAATACAGTAAGAATATTATCATTATAAAATGTATTCTATTAAATACTGCACAAAGACATTTTTGACCAGCAGCAGCAGAAAGAAAACACCTCAATGCATTTATAAGCAAATTTATTTAGTTTTCTTTTATGAGATATATATATATTGAGATATATATATGAAATATACCCACAAGTTATTACAAAAGTGTACAAACACAAGTTCTAGCACAGTACAGTAAAAAGTGGTATTCTAGGAGGAACATTGAGATCTACAGTATCTGGGCTTCAAGAGGAAATACTCCCATTAGACATTGTATGCAGAAGAGGACACATTTCCTCCATGGCCTGTCCAGTTAGTATGGATAAATACACCTGGCTTCGATAGTAACTCATAGGTATGTGCACCAAAGTAATCGCGCTGAGCCTAGAATAAGAACACACACACACAATAGACACATCAGTATCACAGGCATATGAGTAGTAGAAGTTGCACCTACTGATACTTGACTATAGGAATACTCCGACTCCAATATTATAACATTCAAACTTATTTTCTCATTATTAGAAAATCGCTGCAATGAAACATTTACTAATACCTAGTAGTTAGAGGAGTTCTAGAAGGCAATTATATTATTTCTGCTATCTACTCATCTAAAAAATAAGCACTGAGATACATCCAAAGGTTCAAAGACAGTTCTTTATAAAGCATTTTGATTTAAAGATGTCATTAGTCTTGGTTCACAGATTGAATACTAACACATGCTGGGCACTGTCATACCAGTACCTCTGGTCGTCTTTATCCAGACATCTCACAGACTTTCACTGCAGTGAATTTCAGGTTTAACGGAATTATATTAGGCAACCTATGCCTTTATCTTTGCAATGCTGGGGTGGTTAGGACATACTGCCATCACGGCCTTTAGACCAGTATTTAAACAACAACATGATGGTATTTCAATAGCTGTAAGATCTGCTACACTACTTCAGGCACCTACCTGAATCAGGTTAGCTGGTAATATTTCATGCCTGTATCCATCATAAAAAGAAAGTGCTGTAGTGAAGCAGGGCATAGGGATACCAATCTGTACTCCAGTACTGATCACACGTCGCCAGGAGTCCTGGGACAGAGGAAAAGAGGGGAGGGAAAGAAAAAAGAAAGTAATCAGTGTTTGCTCAGAGCTATGTGCAGGCATATGAACTATTCTGGTACAACAGCATGTGCTATTTCACGTTATATGAAAACTTATGACCAAGTCTGAACAGTTTTCTGATTTTCTGATCAACATTCCTGATTTTACATAAACAAAGTTGATCCAAAATAATAGACAAGAGTTGACAAACAGGACAGTAACTGCTGACATATACTTCACATGTGATCAAGCCACAGCCTTGAGCTAGGATGTTGCTCTTGCACAAGCCTACTCAGTGCATCCCCGAAGCACGAAGACAGTGGGGAACATACTGAGCAAACACTGAAACACTTTCCGGACCCTAATCAAGCACAGTACAAAGCCCACTAAGGGCATAAGAGGTCAGCACAATACTTCAGACATGTGGATAATTCTCATTTCAACTGTACATCTGATTTAGTAACCTGCATGGAATACTCAGCTTCAATTTTTTAACTTTCTTATCATTAATATCGTTCATTCTTTTGAATTATTAGTGATAATATATGACTTCTCTGTTGGTATATATATATATTGGTATGTTGGTATATATAAAACCAGATAATCTGGTTTTAGTTCTGCCTATTAACTCCATCCAAACAGGACAGTTTGGACAGTGTCCAAATCTGGAACACTCTTATTTTGGTGCTTCTGCAAACAACGGTAATAGAAGCTTTATACTCTGCACAACTGAAATCCAAGTGCACAGTAGGCACAAGATAGAGGGCAGTGATGAGAACATTCACACAGGCTAGACACTTTTTCCTGACATCACGGTTCTTCTGAACTGCTAGATTTCCACCTAAGGCTCTTCTATAGTAGTAAAATGGAAGCCTTAAGTTTCTAACAGTAGCATGGCTAGTATCAAAGGGAAGAACCGTGACACAAGGACTGTATGTTCGATTGCTCCTGTATTATTTTTAGGTTGATGATACAAATCTACCTTGCAACATTACTTGAGACCTGCGTTCATGGCTTGATGTATCTGGATGCTGATTTATAAAGCAGTGCTTCAGTGATGCAACCCCTTTTTTCCTTCATTTAGAACTAGTATTTTTCAACTTTCTAATGAAATAGAGGCAAGAGGCATTTGTAGGCATTTTTTCAAGGACAGGTTGCTAACCGTGGTGTCTGGCAAGATTCTACTTTGGACCTCAGTATAGCCTACCTCATCACAGCAACCTTCTTCAGTTTTAACCAGCTCCAGCTATGCAGATTTCTTCCTGTCCTGTTCCTGCTACGTTCTACTAAAGGGTACCTTGAAGCCACGTAAGATTAATTCCTACACGCACACATTATGTGCGTACAGATAAGCATACACAGTCCCAAAGAATTTAAGGATTGTTTCAGAGATCTTTGGGATTAAGGATGCTGTATAAATAGGTTTCAAGGGTGTTCTCTATCTTTTCATTTTTCAGTCTAAATATACTTTTGAATGTAACTCCTGGGAAAGAAGCTGAAGAAGCCCAGACTGTTAACTATTGGTTTTATGCTCTTTCTTACTTAGAAACTCACCTGACAGTTTTCAACAGCTGTCTTGAAGAAATCATCCAACAGCAAATTCTGGAGCTCAGGGTTTCGATCAAAAGCATCTTTGATTTTTCCTAGGAACACACTAGGCAGAACACATGTAAACCAGAAATAAAATTTCACAGCTTCCAATAAAGGCACATAATCCAAAATTTACAGTGCCAAAATTTGACTCTCTCAGACTTGGATTCCAAACACTGAGAAAGATGCAAACAAAACAAAGATTGAAGAAAATCTGCAGTAGCTAAGCCACCAGAAAATTGGCTTCATCTTGTAACCTTTAGTGCCATCTACAGAAACAGCCTCTTCAGTATCTTATCAGCAGATTAGCACCACGGATTTTCCAGGAAAATCTCTAGGCTTGTCAGTCTAGCTCCGCATAAACTAAATTGCCCACTCTTCTCCCCATAGCAACTAAGTTATCTCCTCATCTCAATTACCTTCTGATGATGCAGCCTCCCCTCCACATCAGTGCAATGCCACCGTAATTCAGCGTCCAGCCAAATTCTTTGGCTGCTTGTCTCAGCAGCATGAAGCCTTGAGCGTATGAGATAATCTTGGAAGCATACAGGGCCTAAAAAAAATATTCATATTCCAAGTGAAACCCCACAAAGTTGAACGAGAAAATTCCCTGTGTACAAGTTCTGTTTACTCCACATATCAGGGATGAGTACTGTAGCCACATTCCAGCTATTTGAGAACCAAAATATCCCTTCTAACTGTTGGAATGTTTGGTCTCAACAGAGAGTGATCAAGAGCTATTAGCCCCATTACAAAGATGGGAGTGTTGAGAGATGAAAAAGTACGTTCCCATGCATGAATTATGACCTCTGCACTCCAACTAGTTGTCACTGCCCACTGTGGCTTAGACTTGAATTCCTTCAGGACTGTTCTTTGGTCAGGAAAAGAACTGGTTGCACTAGGTTTTTTGGACACCACTAGGCAATGCACAATGGGACAGCTGAAGCAGGAATGAACTGTCATGAAATGTAAACACTAGAACTCCTCACCAGGGTTTGCAGCATCCAAAACCTGCTTTGACATGCAGCTTTAATACAGCATTCTGGGAAGCACAATGTCTCACCTTGCGTATGTCCTCCAGGAAGGTCTTCTTGTTCCCACCGAACTGAGTAATTTTAGGCCCACCCAGCAGCTTACTGGCCTGTACTCTCTCATCCTTGAGGGAAGACAGGCACCGTGCAAACACAGCTTCACCTTTAAGGATGGTAGGAAAGGGGAGACATTTAGAAAGTTCAGCGTCACTGGTAAGGCCTGAGATACTTGTCCTCAAGCACACAGTGAGAATGCCGCTGAATGATGAGCCGCATACACAGTGAGACAGCGTCACAGGGGAAGAGGTGTAGAAATCAATTAAGAGCACTATTGAGGGACTAAACTGCCAGACAGCATAACCACAGGGTAAATATTGACTGATACAGCTCTCAAATGATAAAGAAAAAAAGCCACAAGTCATCCACATGAAAATTTATCCCCAGGAACCTTCACCAGCTCTTAGTTTTAAGAATTTACTTCAAATTCTCTTCCTATCTATAAAAGACAGAATGTTGCTCTGCAGCCTAGGGACAGGCGAGGCTGAAGACTTCACTAATTATTGTATCATGTTTTGAAGATAAAAAGCTGTTGCATAAATGCCAACTCGCATTAACTGGGTGTGCTCTGAAATACACACATACAAAATAAGAGCAATTAAAATCAAGAATAAATCAGCAGGTTAACCTGGAAGAAGAAGTAAGTTTTACAAATCTGGTGGGCCCATAACACTAGCATTCAGAAGCCCATAAGAAAGTTTTATAACATCACTAAGCAGGTTACTAGATGTCATTAACCAGGGCTAAGGAGTTAGCCAAGGACTATCTTCAGCTTCTAAAGAGAAAGCCTGAATGCCAATCTCTTGATCTGGCACAGTCCCTTCCTAATCATGCTGTTTGAAGTTGTACTTATTTGCAACTGAAGACAGTATTGTTAAATGGCAAAAAAAAAAAAAAATTCCTTTCCAGGGTCTGATAGAAGAAAAGCCATCAAGTTTATTATACTCTTCATACTGAACTTTTCTTCCACCTTTTAAATGAGTCATGAATTACAACAAAAACCCAAAACCCCGAAACAAACCAACCAAAAAAAAGATGAATGAGTAATGTTTTCACAAGACTCTGGATCCTCCCTGCAACAGGATTAACAAAATCAGAACTGGCTCCTCTCTGTTTCTGCAAATACTTCCTTCAGCACTGGGGAGAAGAAATGTGGGGGGAAAACCAGGAAAAAGCAGGAGTTGCATGTCACTGCTTTTACAATCAGAAGTCTGCAAGTCATGCTTATGTGGTAAAACCACACACACAGCAACTGCCCTAAGAACGGCCCTGTTTGCACAAGGGCTATTGCACATACTTCCCTATCAACTCATCATTACCTAACAATGCTCCCCAGGCACTGCAGAGGACTCTTTGGGGAGCGTCTCCTCCACCCTTGGTCTTTGCAAGAAGCCCAAACAGGAGAATATTAACAGCACAAGTGAGAAACACTGTTTCAAGCCTAGAACTGAAAGACTATAGCTGCACTAGAATATTAAAACCATTTACAAAACTTGTTTTGTAAAAATACATTGTTGGAATGCAGCCATGTTTCTCTGATAGCTATCACTGAACATAGTTTTTCTTATCTTCTAATAGAACAGGACTTGACTGTCCAAGGCAAAGGAAAACAAGGTAGAGAAAGCATGAAAATTAAAGCCAATTCAAGAGCAAAGCACCTGTTGAGTCATCTTATTTACTCAGCAGGAAAGTCTACATTGGACCCATGGCAAGAGAGCACTCTGAATGTGTTGCAGCTGTATTACACCTCTTGTGTCACAAGTCCCCTCAGCGGCCAGGTTAGACAGAAGGGTAGGTAAGGAGACTGTTAGGGATGTATGTGAGCAGGAAAATTCTCACACTTTAGGGATATAAGTCAAAGCAATTACAAAATACATTTCCATCAGCTTAGTTTGGCTTTGGATCAGCAGCCTGATTCGCCACAAAAGAAAAAACAGCAGCAGTTAAGAGTGTATAAAGAAACAGCAAAATCAACTGTCTTGGTGGAAAAACAGCAGCCATCATAAGGTAGCAGTCTGCTGCTATTCTCAAAAAAAATCTGTCTGTGATTCTCAACCCACAATACAGTCTGGCCCTCGTGTTCCTGTTTAGTCACACTAATGCTGGCTTAGCTAAATTATACTGAAACAGAAATAGAAAAAGACTTAGAGGTAGTAAAAAATAATGAAAAGCAATTTCTGCCTTCACAGAAGTCTTAAGTACTTATCAAGCAGTAGACAAGCAACAAGGTTTTGAGGGTGTCCCACCCCCACCTTTTTTTTTTTTTTTTTTTCTAGGCTATGATGGGATTTGGAGTAGCAAGTAGAGGATTATGGGGAGGGACATTGCATCAATCAAGCATGACAGTTCTAGCACGGCACTTACGTTAACCTGTCTCTGAGCCATCACCAGCACTGGAGGATATCACAGACAAAGGCATGTTAAAAACAAGTCCAGCAAAGAAAAACAGTAACAGCTCTCAAGGGTAGAAAGACTGCAACAGCTACACCTAGAAAAGCCTCTTCTGCAAGCCTAGTGTGGGCTCATTTCTGAGATTACCTATCACCACACTCCTTACTGTGATGGGGTACATGCAGGTAGGAAAGACAAGGCCAGACCAAAGAACCAGTTACCTATGAGTGTGACAGGGACTCCGTATTCCAGGGCAGAAATGGCTGTCCACTTTCCTGTGCCTTTTTGTCCTGCGCTGTCCTTGATCTTTGGAAGGAGGTATTTACCATCGCTGTCTTTGAATTTGAGAATATTGGCTGTGATTTCAATCAGGAAAGAGTCCAACTCTGTCTTATTCCATTCCTGAAATACCTGGAAGAGGAGAAAACACACCCTGATTTACTATGTATCTACTACATATATATAAAGTGATTTATGGATGTATGTATACATAAACACACATATGTGTATACATTCAGAAGGCAGCAATACTATCTCTGTTACTGGTTACATCTACCAAGGATCCCAGTGCTGCTGAGGCCACTGTGCAGGAGCCTGGCGCTGGAAGGAGCACAGCCCAGACTCAGAGCTGCAGAGCACCCACCTCCAACTGCAAGGGCAGAGGCACGGCTCATCCTGTTGCCCATCACTGCAGGCACTGAAGGCTGGAAACAGAACTGCCCTTTCAAGACATAATCATATTTATTCACTTGCTTCAGTAAGGTCTTTGCAAGATTTGCCTGCTTGATTATAACGCTCCAGTAATTCATATTTCTACACAAGAAGGTGCTTCCTGGGAGAAATCAGCTGTAGACTGGGAGTTTAGACAACTTCTATAAACACTCAGGTGTACATGCTCGCTGCTCCCTACCCCATTTGAAGCTCAGGAATATGGTGCACTGCCCGTGGCAAAAGGCACGTCAGAAAAATTAACTTCATGTACGTACAGCAGCTTTACTCAAGGCCAGCTGCCTCCATCAACGGCAGCCAGCCACATGGCTCAAGAAGGCAAGACACTAAAAACTAGCGATTACCTCTGACATCTCATCGTGCTCCATGCCCACCACATCTTTCATCAGGTGGTAAGCCTCACAGATCAGCTGCATATCTCCATATTCAATCCCATTGTGCACCATCTTCACAAAGTGTCCGGCGCCCTCATCCCCTACCTGTCAGGAAACATCAACAAAATGTCATCAGCAACAGTGCTGTCCCCACTTCCAGTGTTTAACACCTGCCTAGGGCTTCCTTCTGCCTAAAGGAAGGAAGGAAGTACGCAAGCCCAGGGATAACTCAAAACACTGTGGGTCACAGATCCATTTAGCTCCCCCAGCACAACCCAGGCATAAGACTTTGTCTTTCCACTGTACAGGAGAAGTTATCAGAGACAGCAGATTTGAACTGAGCCCAAAAAAATCAACTCACTAATGATGCTGATTTTATTAAGGACAAACAGGCAACTGATCTACCTAAGAGCATGACTCTAACCACGAGTTAAGGTCAGTATCAAATAAATATTTACCCAGTCACAACAAGGTTCCCCAGATCCCACTTTAGCAGCAATGCTTTGAAATATGGTCTTGATGTGGGGCCTGTGGGGAGAAATAATATGCCTCAGCAGATAGGCAGAGGACATAAACACCACAAGGAAAAAAAAAATAATATCCATTGTTATGATGCCAAAAGGCAGCTTGGGGTGAGGGCACACTGGCAGGTTGATAACCCACCACACAGCAATGCCAAATAATATGTATGTTTTTCCCAGAACTAGACGCTGTTTGCTGGAAATGGGGACAGCCCATGTCACACTTACAGTACTGTGCAGACAAGCTTTATGAACCTGAAGGAACCCAAATATTATCTTCTCCATTTTAGAAATGGGGAAATAGAGGCAAGTTATGATACAGGCTCACACTCAGAGCTGAAACAAAATCCCATTCTGTTCTTCAGCCACAAGAAAAATCCAGGATGACCTGGAGGAGGAGAGGGAAGGAGGGAAGAAACTCCACGAATGCAAGTCAGGATATCGTTATTTGCATTATTGCAGTAATTATGAGCTTTTGTCATTGCCAGGCTCTCCAAGTGTAGTAAATCGTGAAGAATCATCACTGGGAAAGAAGCATGGGTGGCACGTGGGCTGCAGGTGCTTGAAAGAAGTGGGGGACACAGTTCAGGTAAGGGTGGCAAACAGCAACTGTCTACAGAGCTGTTTAAGGCAAAAAAATGATCAGACAGCAGATTACTGTTATGTCACTTCTGGCTTTGTGCCATCAAATTTGAACAGGCTGATATTGGTATGAAATACTAATGCAAAAAGACAGGGAATTAAGAAATTTTAAAGCTCAGGTAAAGCCTAGACACACATTTTCTTTCTACATTTACAGAGAGAATGAGAAACCAGGGATAAAGTCTAATATGAATACTGCTGTACAGTCCTTCACAGTAACATGAGTACAAAAGAGCACAGCAGCATGGCAGAAACTTGCAAAAAACTTAATGTAGTCAATAGTCAGTACAAACAAGTACTGAAGCCTCCTTTTATAACGCATGTCACTGCAGGGATGTTTGCTGCTGCCTGTTTCATGGTTAACAGCTTTCCAAGTGCGTAGGGCTCCCGAAGAAAAATCATAATCAAGAACAGTACTTTTTAAAAAATTAAACACAATTCTTTTCTCCCTTGGCACACATTTCTCCCTTCAGATTTCTGTAGGTACTACTTTTGCCTGTGAACTCCTGGAAGAAAATCCTGCCTTTGTTCTGCCTGCCATGAAAAGTCAGCACTGCCCCATGACCGCAGCTAGGCTGAGAAATCTTGAGCCTTGAGGAAGTGATATGGCAACATATCTTGTTCTCTCCACACCCACACCCTCCTCCTTCCCTCCCTCAGCTCTCAACACGAACAGAAGACGATTGTTGCAGACCATCCTGAAGAAGAATATACTAGCTCATGCTTACCAGGCTTCTTTGGCTCCTCCTGGCATGAGCGAAGGACCATATCTGGCACCCTCCTCTCCACCACTGACACCGCTCCCGACAAACAAGATGCCCTTTTCCTGCAGTTCCTTACAACGTCTCTGGAACAAAGAGCAGAGAGGAATTATTTAATTTCTTTTAACGCCACAGCCTTACAAACAAAGGTTAGCAATTCAGACCTAAAATTAGTTTTTCAGTTCTGCTTTGGACATGCTAGAAGACAACCTCAGAGAAAGCTCAAAGAAGACACTAAAGCAAATGTTACAAAACTTCCTGTTGCTTTGACACGGATCCTTGCACAAGCGACGGGCTGAGAAAACAAAGTCCTTACAAGCACCACACAGAGAAGAGCAGTACCGAGGCTGGAAAAGGCTCAGAATTAAGTGTCAGGTGATAGACGCTCTGTGCAAAGATGCGGGGGAGGCAGATGAGGGCCAAGGAGAGTTGCTGAGTTCACTGCAGAGTGAAGGGGCAAGCATGAACAACTATAAGGGAAACTAATTCCCTCTGAGTGGGAGAGACACACAGGCTGACACCCCTAAGGATTAATCCCCATTTAGTACATGGTTTTCATTCTGGCATGGCCAACTCACTTATCCAAGATCAGGATGTCAGAGCATAAAGACTAATACCAGCACCCCTTCTAAGCTTCAAAAGTACCAATTTGAATGCAATATTTTTATCTAAGCACCCCAGATATGCTAAGGTAACTTCTAAAATTTCTGTAGTTACAGCCTGCTCACAAGCAGGAGCTTTTTAAAAAAAAAAACAAAAAAACCCACCACAAAACCCCCCATATAATTACTCTACAAAGACATCCAAACCAGCAGTTCTGTCTTAATGAATTTTCCTGTGGTCATGTAGGATTGAGATAAAACAACAAAACTATAAACACCCTTAGGCTTTCAAATCTCCCTGAAAACTCTTCAAGATAATAATAGGAAATTTTCTAAAGGCCTTCACTCTTTAAAAAGACATTAGTAAAAATATTCTTTGGCAATTTGAGCAACTTCTATAAAAATATATTTATAGAACAGTCCTTAACTACTGTAACAATTGCTTTTTAATAGTCTGCATGATCTAGTTTGGCAGAGATAACTCAGTCTGGCCTTCCCTGAGCAGAGGGGGAGACAGCATCTTACTGACTGACTATTCTGATGATCAGAGGAGAAAGAATCATGTGTATTTATTCATCCAGTTCAGGCAGAAAACAGGCTTACCGTGGTATCTCTATACTCAGAATTTCCACCATCAATTATGATGTCTCCAGTCTCCAACAACGGCACCTGCCAAACATAAATCAGTGTTTTGGTTTTCTCCATGTATTCAAAACCTCATTAATGACGAATAATTGAGATCTTCTAGGGAAAACTTCTCTAAAAGACAGCAGGAAGTCACAGGTAGAAAGGATGTTTGCCTCACCAATTTATTGATGAAGTCATCCACTGCATTTCCAGCCTTCACCAGCAAGATAATGCGACGAGGCTTCTTTAACTTCGAGACCATCTCTTCCAGGCTGTGAGCACCAATCACTTTGGTTCCCTTGGCCTCATTGGCCAGAAAGTCATCCACTTTGGAAACCGTCCTGTTAAAAGCACAAACCTGGGGGCACAAGGAAACACATTAATAAAAGCTGCCAGAACAGTTACTTTAGCTCTGACCACAAATTACAGAGGCAAGGTTCAACATCACGTGCTCTCCCATTTCCACCTTCCCTAAAGACACGGAGCAGGGATGAACCTGCAGCATGTCTCTGCAAGTGCCCTGGGAACCTCCGGTCAATGGCCAAGCCCAAAGCAAACTTCTGGGAAAAAAATCATACGTAGTCAACACATCAGGTGGCTGAGTACAGGCATGCACTGCTGCTTTTCTCTGGAAACAGGGCAAAGGGCAGCCTAGATTATAACTAAAAGGAGGAAACAACACCCATTAGACCATCGCAAGTTAAAAAAATCAAAACCCCAGAAAACGCTCAGCTCCAACCCCAAGTATTAGTGAGTGAGCCTTTCTGAACAATGTTTTCCTTCGCTTACCACAAAGCCATGGTCGTTCATGTTCAAAATAAGGTTTTGGCCCATCACAGCCAGTCCAATCAAAGCAATGTCAGCTCTAGAATGTGGAAGAACAAAACCACCAGGTAAGTCTCAGCAGCAGCGATGGAGCACCATACCCTCCGTCAGGCTGTTCTGCTCTATTCAACTGTCAGCCCACCCTTTCCTACAGAGGCTGCAGCACATGTTCCGAGCTGGTTCTGTAGGTTATTGCAGCAAGAGGCCTCCCATCAACCCAGCAGACAGAGCAGAGACTGACACAGAGCATGTTTCAGGTCACTAAGATTTCTTCCTAACTACCAAAACGCAGCTAGATGAGTAAGAAGAGTTAGCTATCCAGAACAGTGCGCTAGGAGGCAGGGAGGAGAGAGAGAGGCTCTGATACCTCGCTGATGGATCCAGCTCTGTCACAGCTCCACATTTAAGATGCTGCACTAGAACATCACATCTGAGCGCTACACCATTCCTTTTTGCCTCTCCAATGCAAACTGTCTCAGATTTCGGGTGAGCAAAGACAACGAGGGAAACAGGACATTCTGCTAGAGGCTGCCTCATTCAGTTTACAAGGGGCGTGCGCGCAGAGAAGCCCAACCTGTCTACTTCTATTTCTCGAGTCACGAGTAAGTTTCCTGCTTCGCAGTCACGGCTCCAAAACTGATCGCTTCCGGATTTTTGTCAAAAAGTCTCTCTGCCAACCGGCTTATTCTCTTCGCTGGTCCCTCAGCCGCCGCAGAGCCTCTAACGGCGAGGAACCAACCCGCCGTCAGGCGGCTGGAGGGCCCCGTCCTCTCCCTCCCGGACGCACCGCGGCACCGGCCGAACGGGAAAGCGGGACCGCGCGGCATCGCCCGCCTCCCCCAGAGCAGCCCGCCGGGAAACCGGGTTTCACAGAGAGTCGCTCGCCAGAGGCGAGAGGCCACGAAGGCTCCCGCCTGCCTCTCGGCGACACGCTCCCCGCGCTCCCCAGGAGCGGCCAACGGCCCGCCAGGCCTGGGCACCCCCCGGCTCTCAC